TCATCACAGGTTGTTTTGAATCGCCATTGATGTTGTTGGTTGCTTAACAATATTTGTCAAAATTTACGTAATTAAAATTAGGTAGGCTTTCTATTTCTTTTTTGTCAATACTCCATTTTTCTTATTTAACTCAAAATAATTTGTTCTCCCAAATTTCTCTATCTAGGTCGATCTCCATAGATTATTTCTCACATGTCCTTATCTCATAATTTAACAATGCTCTTTTTTTTTTTTGAAATTATAATTTTATTTTTATTTACATGTTTAAGATTTAACATTGATAATCAGAAACATTATCATGTTATATTACTATATTATGATGCTAATTGATAGTAGGTCATGACATTTAATATATGATTTTCACTTAAACATGAATTCAAATATGTTATGAAAATGTACATTTAATATTACCGGCTGCAATAATATTAAATAATAAATCAAATAAATTATGTTATGTTATTGTGGCATGTGCTTGCAATTAAACCCTGGTTTAAGTCACTGTTTGACTTACTTTATAATTCAATTAAACAATTCATAATTGATCTGAATATTTGTGTTAATTTATTTAATTATTTTTTTAGCGAAACAGTGGATGGCTCTGACACTTTGCTCCATGTTTTATTTTATCCACTGGTTCAGCTTTTTGGTACAAAGAATGAAAGATGACATGTATGTTAGAGCATGAAAAGCTGTTTTCTTTGTGAAATTTCTATGAGCTTTCTTAGATGAAGCTTTGCTGTTTTTTTGGTTCTAATATATTCATATGGGAGTGGTTCAAGTAATGCTCTGTGTGCATTCGATTGTGCTGATCACATGGTTACTTTGGGTTTTGCTTGATATAATTGTATTTTAAGTTTTTTTTTTAAATTGAATATTTATTAATTAAAGTTTTTGTCCTTTTAATTTAAGAAAAAATATTTAGTAAATTTCTATTATTTTATTGTAAAATAAATCAATTCATTTAAATAAGGATAGAGTTAAAGATTAAAGATAAAAAAATATGATAGGTCACACACCAATTTTTTATTTTATAAGAAGCAATCATATATGATAAATATTGATATTTTACAAATTTATTTTATTATAAAATATTTTAAGAATACCATTTTAAATAATATGATAAGTTTTGATATTTTATAAATTTATTTAATTATAAAATATTTTAAAAATATCATTTAAAAATATAACACAAGACATACACATCTTTTAGGATGGACTTATCGATCTTACAACGTACGAGATTCATGATAAAATACACTTTCGTTTTCATTAAATTTGTGTAAAATTCATTTCTCTATATATTATATGTAAACATATGTTAACTATTTTTATTTAATTTTAATTTAAGTTATATATAATTTTGAGATATTTTTTTCTTTTTTCTATGACACCCATAAAATAATAGCACGACAATAACGATTTAATGATTTATAAATATTAAATTAAATTGAAATTTAATATTAAGTTGTACAAAATTAAAAACTTATACATTTTATCATACATTGTACTAAAATTCCTGTATATTTTGACCGATATTTTTTGGTGTTAAAATATTATTGTAAAAAGAAGAGAGAATGTGCTACACCTACAATGGAAACATCATTAAGTGGCGAGTCACGAATATTTTAGGTGAATTATATACCGAGTAAACTATGTATTAGTTATTTATTTATTTTTATAATTATATTTTAATTAATTAATATTTTTTAAAAAAATTATACATAATATTACGTTTTGATCATCTGTTCTTAAAAATTAACGATAATATTAATATGTAACTATAATATACTATTACATCATCATTAAGAAAAGAATAAAAAAACTACCAAGACATAAGTTCTATATTTTACATTGAAAATGGAATAAAAATATAATATTAATTATATATTTTTTAAAAGAATAGTTTAAAAATAAATAAGTAATTTAACACGTAGTTTATCTTTATATATAATTGAATGTATTGCCCCATTGTCCTTGAAATTATGATAAAACAAAATGCTTTGCACCAAATAATAACCATAACAAAATATTTAAGAAAATACAAAAACATAAATTATTGGAAAAATGAGTCATGAAGCAAGGAAAAAACAAAACAGCAAGCATCTCTGGCCTACTGTCATTGTCCATGAGCTTCACTGTCAAAGGGAAGCAGACTTGGGATTAAAAAAAAGGGTAAAGTATAGTAATGGTCACTGAATATTTATGAAGCTTGCATTTAGGTCACCAACTTTTAAAACCTGCAATACAGTCCCCCAACATTTATTCCGTTTGCAATATGGTCCCCCAACTTAAACTACTGTTAAAAAATTAAGGTAAATTATATAAACGGTCATTGAACTTTTCAGGCACTTGAATTTTGGTCTCCCAACTTTTAAAACTTGCAAATAGTCCTCAATTTTATTATAAACCCCAATTTCCAAAGTAATTCAATTTCATTCTAAACCATTGATTCTACTAAATCATAAATGATCACTGTATAAGAAAATTCAGGTGAATCATAAATGATCGCACTGTAAAGCACTGAAGGGTTAGGTACTCAAATCTGATAAAAAAATAGCATGCAAGAACATAGTAGTACTTAAATCATAATGCTCCAAATGAGTGTTCCGAATTTCATATAGTCAAAAGTTGAAGAAATGAGCATACTTTATGGGAAGTTGAAATACCGAATAGAGTGCTTACATTTTGCTATTCGGGATGTTTAATCAATACATATTGTTATTCAAAATTGATATAAACAGTTAAATAAACCTCAAATTTATATTGAAATAAATATTGTCAAATAGTAAATTCATGTTCAAAATTTCAAAACATCTTAATTTTATTCTAAACCCTAAATTCTAAAATAATTCAATTACATTCTAAACCTTAAATTGAAGTATTTTAGAATTTGGGGTTTAAAATTTAATTGAATTATTTTAGAATTTAGAGTTTAGAATGAAATTGAATTACTTTGGAAATTGGGGTTTAGAATGAAATTGATGGTTGTTTTGCAAGTTTTAAAAGTTGGGAGACCTAAATTCAAGTGTCTGAAAAGTTCAATGACCGTTTATATTATTTACCCTAATTTTCTAATAGCAGTTTAAGTTGGGGGACCATATTGCAAACGGAATAAATGTTGGGAGACTATATTGCAAGTTTTAAAAGTTGAGGGACCTAAATGCAAGCTTCAGAAATGTTTAGTGACCATTACTATACTTTACCCTAAAAAAATATTATTTAGTTATTATAATTAGGCAGTAGTTTGGCTGATTTAGCCAATAAAGATAACGAATTTTTTATTTAGTTTATTGAGACAAATCAAAATTTATTTTAGGATATATGATATTTTATAGTATTATTGAAACTCATTATATCGAGGTGAAGAGTTCGAATAAATATAATTTTTTTATTAAAATCTATCACATTGAGGTTAAAATTAAAATAAAAATATTTTTTATTGAAACTCTTCACCTCAACGTGACAAATTCTTCTCACTGAAGAAAAAATTATAGATCCCAAAATAAATATTTACTTGCTGATGAGATAAATAAAAAACCCAATAGTTACACAATTGGTTCTTGGAAGCATTGGTGTTGGGTCAAAAACTAGGAACTATTATTGGATTTTTGTGGATTAGCTTCTTTCTCCTAGGCATGTATGGATAAAGACAATGGAGATGCGAGGAAAATGAAATAAAGTACTATTAAAATTAAGGGTAAATTCACTTTAGTATTGAAACTACCACTTATGTTCTGTTTTAGTTATCTGACTACTTTTTATTTCAAAATTATACTTGAATATTATGTTTTAGTTTTATTTTTATCACCCGTCGTTAAAAAATCAACATATATGTTAACGTGACATATTTTTTAAAAAAATCAATGATGATGTTGTATTATCTTATGATGACATATCAATATCATTATTAATTTTTTTAACGGTAGATGACAAAAATGAAACTAAAACGTAATAAATATGGTGATTTTGAGTTAAAAAATAATAGTGACCAAAACAGAAAAAGTAATAGTTGAGATACTAAATATGTAATTTAACCTAAAAATAAATTGATTTTTAAACACTCTTACTTGTCCAAGTTGCCATCATTCAACTCTTCTGATCTCTTTGTTTTTCTTTGTGAATGGACCAAATTTCACCACATCATTCTTCCTTTCCCCCCTCCCTTTCGCTCCAGATATCTCTTGGCTTCTTTTACATCTATTTTTTGGGTTTGAATTTCATGATTAATATTTATATTTCATATAAATTATATATTTTATATATTTTATTTTACTTATAAAAAATTATGTGACATGATTAATATTTAATTTTTTTTATATATTTTTTCAACAAATTCTAATTCTAATCTTAATCTTACGTAGAGGAGAGGGAATGAAGAACTCTAAGAGAAAGAAAAAGTACTCCTAGTAAATCTAAAATCCATGACCTAAAAGAATACACAGAAATAAAGATCAGCAGCTCGATCAACTGAATAAATATATTTACTCATTTTTCATATAACATAATAATACTACTTAAAGTGTATATAATATATCAATCATATCATTACGTCAATCTAATTCCCTCTTACCACTTAGGTCACTTGATGTGTTCATCATACTTATCGTTTTTTAAATAGTATGGTGTGATTATAAGGTAATATATATTCAGAATTTTATTAACCAATTAACAACGTACAAACCTCGCAGATTTATTAGAGGAGAACAACAATCTCTTTTATCATTAAACGATGCTATTGATAAGAAAACAGTTTCTTCATCATTTTTCCATCTAGCTATCTGGCCAATTGGCAATCCTATGTCTTGTGATACCAAATTATTCTATAACATGAGATAACTGAATTTGTTGTTGGGTAGACCAGTTTGTTGACAAGTTGTTAGACCGTTTTAACAACCCATTTGCCCACTGGATTAAACAAACTTGAATGAGATTGTCAATTTGTTGATTGATTCTCTTGGGAAGTTTTTAGCTTAGCCTACATTTGTTAAAACCTTTTCCTCTTTCCATCTTCTGTAAATTGTTTCTGTTTTTGACGGTTTTCCTTATGTTGAACTAAGAACATGCATGCTTAGCATTTGTGTTGAATCTGAAGATATTGGTCTCCGTTCAATACTCTCAAACCTCTTGTGTTCACGTTACTGGCCATTCTCAAATGATTCCTATTGCAGAACATTCAAAAAAGTATAATTTTAGACAATTTAAACTAAATTTGGAACGCAAATTATGACGTAGGCTCTCCCACTTTGGGGAGACCTTAGGCCAGCACCCCTCCTAAATGCAATGGAGGTCACTAACCTAGGCCATGGACCTTGTTGGTCGCCCATTGACCCCGTCTAGGTAAGTATGTTGCAATGTAACTATGCGTCTTTTATTTATTAGTCCCAGCTTGTGGTTATACCTCTTTCTTACTTGATGAGATTAGTGCTTCATCATGATTCTCCATTTCCCTGGTGAATGGTGAGGCTGAATGAAGCTGCTAAGCTGATCTACAAAGAATATATGAAACTCTTAAACATATTAGAATCTGTTTCCTTGCGTCTTTATCTCGTTGATAAAAAATGGTTGTATATCGACATGGACTCTCTTTTGAATGATCATATGAACTAAGTTAGATATCAGACATCGACTCTATTTGGAATGATCAGATTAGAATTTCATTGCCAAAAGATGCCACGGAAGTAAGCTATTTTTTATCTTTAATGGATTTTTATTAGGTTTAGTTTAAGAAACCATTTGCTAACATAGAGAATCTTGTTTGGTTTGACATCAACAGTTGATTGGTAAAACATCATTAGTAATCTAAACAAAATTGTGGATGGATGTGTGGCTCAAATTGCAGCAAAGTTACAAGAACAATTTATTAAATCTTTATATTTGCTTAATTGGTTCTTAATCTTATCTTGCTTACTAATCCTCCCATGATTGTGCTATGAGTCAGTACTAAGCTATTCAGAGCTTAATGCCTGATGACATGAACAAAAGGGACTATATTGATGTTATTGAACTTCTGATATAAACTGAACAGAAACGTTATTTTTTTCTTCTCTTTTTTACTTTCTGTTCAGAATGTGGTAAATCCAAAGAACAACAATGAATGCTTTAATAGCAAGCAGCCATGCTTCTTGGTTTGCTTGAAAAGAGATTAATCATCCCTTTCAGGGAAATTAATGTGGTCAATTTTCTCTGTTTTTTATCTCATTTTCTTAAAGATTGTTTAGACATTCCTCTTGGAAATCAACTACTCATTTATCCAGTAATGCCGGTCTTTGATGGATTTCCTCTACTCTAATCTGCAGATACTCTTGATTTCGAAAAAATATTTTATAGGTGGAATGCACCAAACCGAGTAATTTGACAATTTTTGTTGGGTTCAGGGTTCAGCATGACAATGCAACATGACCCATGAATGGAGTAATCAAATATCACCCCTGAGGTAGTTTTCGTTTCGCTCTCTTCAGTCTTCTGCAACATGCTTGAATAACAAAGTAATACAAATGAACAATTTGGATAACATAGACTTTATTCTGTCCGAAACATATACATTTTACTCTGATTTTGTTCCTAGGAAATGCATACGCAAGCCGCCACTGCCACATATTATGACATAGGCCCTCCCACTTTGGGGAGACCTTAGGCGAGCACCCCAATTAAGTGCAATAAAGGTCACTAACCTAGACCATAGACCATAGACCTTATTGATCATGACCCCATTCAGGTAAATATGTTGCAATATGACTAGGTGTCTCTCATTTATTAGCTCGAGCTTATGGTTTTTACTCGATATGAGATTAGTGCTTCATCATGATTCTCCACTTCTCCAGTGACACTATATATGAAACTCCTAAATAAATTTACAAAGAATATATGAAAGTCCTAAACATATTAGAATATTTTTCCTTTCTTCTTTAGTTCATTGATAAAAAATGATTGTAAATTGACATGGACTCTCTTGCAATGACGATTGCTGTCATATGAACTAAGTTAGATATCAGACATCAATTCTCTTTTGAATGATCATATTAGACTTTCATTGTCAAAGATGCCACTAAAGTAAACTATTTTTTCATCTTCTTTATTGGATTTTTATTTGTGTAGATGAAATACGTCATGCGTAAATTGAATTGCAGTAAAATTGGAGTCAATGGAACTCTATTCCAGTTTCTAGGACAGTTATATGATCAGAAACCATGTCACATAAACTTTCGAGATGTATTATTTGTAGATAATTCAAATCTCTAAACCTTATTCCAATCATGTATGTGATCAAAAATCATGTCACAGAAGCTTATGAGATGTAACGTTTGCAAAAAAAAATCAAAACCCTAAACTCTATTTCAGTTTCGAGAACAGGTGTAAGATCAGAACTCATGGCGCGTAAACTATTAATATGATATTTGTAAATAATTCAAATCTTAAATCCTATTTCAGACAGGTATTTGAGCATAGACAATTGTAGATAATTCTAACCTTAATCCTATTAAAACGAGATAAACTAAAAAATTTAACTAAAATATTGGAAGGAGCCGATCAAACGCAGACCCTCAGTACCACAAATTATGTCGTAGGCTCTTCCACTTTGGGGAGACCTTAGACAAGCACCCCTCCTAAGTGCAATGGAGGTCACTAACCTAGGCCATGGACATTGCTGATCGTCCATTGACCCCGTCCAGTAAGTATGTTGTATCGAAGCTAGTTGCCTTTTATTTATTAAGCCCCGCTTGTGCTCCCTTCTCTTGCTTGATCATAAATAGTTCTGTATATGAATTTTTCCTGCTGATCGGTGAGACTGAATGAAGCCACACGAATTCACAAAGAATATATATAAAACTCTAAATAGATTAGAATCTCTTTCCTTGTTTCTTTTCAGGCAATGGACTGGAAAAGCCGATTTGACATAACGAAAGCATCGAGGTAAAAGAATCCAAAATATACAGGAATTTTACCGGAGAAACTATTGGAATATCAACAAAAGCAATTATTGTATGATCCAAATGCTAGAAATTCACTTCCTGAGAAGTTATCGTTTGACAAGTGCAGCAGCAGTAGTATGTATATATTTGAGATGGATTTTGGCACTGGCCTTGAAAATTTGTTTCATGCGAGCATGAGTATCATTATTGAAGTAGTATTGATTTCTGGCAATTCCCCAGAAAAGTTGTTTCTCGACAACACAAAGGACAGATAAATTTCGATATTGAAACAACTGAGGTGGAAAAGAACCTGAGAGCTTGTTATCTGATAGAATAATAATTCCATGATTTCTTTCAACTGCTAACCACTGTGAGAAATCTCCTTTGAGATCATTCTCACTCAAGTCCCAGGAAATAAGATTGATTGAAGATCCAGCTTGGAATCTCTCCTCTAACAATGCAAGATCTCAATGATAACGAAGATAACTTACACTTCGGTTCGATTGTGAGATTGTTGTTCCAATGCTAATCTGTTTCCTTCAAGGTGCAACTTCTTCAACTCCTTGAGGCCAAATAGCAATTTTGGTATCTCACCAGACAGCATATCGACGATGGGATTTCGCCCACTCGAACAATTCATGCTCAAGTCTAATGTTGTTATATTCACCAAGTTCCCAATGTCAACTGGAATCTCCATGGAAATTTCTTTGTTCTGCGGGATTAAAACTCCAAGCTTTGTTAGCTGCAATATTGAAGCTCAACGGCTTCAAACTTGTAAGACCAACAACATCATTAGGTAATCCCCCATCAATCATATTACCACTGATATCAAGATGCACCAGTTCACTCAAATTTCCCAGTCCAATCCCTGAAAGTTCACCTTGTATGGAATTGTAGGAAATGTCCAGCGACATCAAGATCTTAATCCGAAAATCAATGTCAAAACAGTTGGTCTTTGTTGGTGTGGGAAAAACACTGGATAGATTCAGACCAATCACTTTTTGTGAAGATGAACTGGAACTACATTCCACCAGAGCCCACTGACAACGTTTTGAACTGGAATTCCATGTCTCTAAGCCACCAAGAAACAAATCTGTGGGAGTTGTGTCTCTCATTGAGCTGCGAACTAGTATATCCTTGAACTCCACGAGAGCTTCTCGTTGATCATGAAGGCATTGGAAAGGAACAAATGAAGCTGAGACTTTGAACAAAAACTACAAGTATGATTTAGAAAGAATGCTTAAATTTTCCATCTTTTTAGCTTTTTGATGTTTTCTTCACCTAAATCTGCTTCTGATTGATTTCTGGTTCAGACATGGTAGTCAAAGGATGAGTCTTTGTTTAATGCAAAATATTGATGGGAAAGTGAATAGAAAATGCATATTTCCAGTAGGAAGGAATAATTTATAGTCATAGAGTGATGATGATTCCTTAAAAAGTATCAGAAATTCCATTTCAAGATTTCGGAAACGTTGGTTCATGAGCTGCTAGACTCATCCATGAAAAGGGTGGGAAGATTGTTTCTATAAGTGAGGTAACATGAGCCATAAAGAACAGAAAATAATCCATATTCTCGGTCTACTCAACCATGTAAAAGAAAACAAGGGTATTAATGGATTCCATGGCGGGGATTCTTTAGACCCCGAGTTGATTCTGGTTGAAGACTGCTACATACTCATCCCGACCGGCACTTGGCAGAATCATCAACAGGTTTCACCCTTTGTTTTACAGTTTCGTTGCTGAAAATAAGTTTGATGTTTGAAACCAAATGGGTCATTTTGATCATAATGATAGGAAAACGAACATGAGATTTATGCTAATCAGAGCTGCTAATCAGCCTATTAACCCAAAAGTCAGTTGCAAAGCAGAATGATAGACCAGTAGTAAAGTAACAATTGAAACTAAACTTAGACAGGGGCCGCGCGAACGCAGGCCACCGCTACCACAAATTATGACGTAGGCTCTCCCACTATAGGGAGACCTTAGGCAAGCGCCCCTCCCAAGTGCAATGAAAGTCACTAGCCTAGGCCATGGACCTTGTTGATCAACCATTGACCCCGTCCAGGTAAGTATGTTGCAATGTAGCTAGGTGCGTCTTATTTATAAGGCCGAGCTTGTGGTTCTTCCTCTTTCTTGTTAGATATGGGATTAGTGTTTCATCATAAGGAGGCTGAATGAAACTCCTAGACAGGTTTACAGAGAATATATGAAACTCCTAAATAAATCAGAATCTGTTTCCTTGCTTCTTTATCTCATTGATCAAAAATGGATGTAAATCAGACATGGACTTGGTGAGGGTTTTATATGTGAGACACAATCACCAACCTGAAAATCCCAGGAGTTATCCGTGAGAGTTTCAAGAAGCTTTTATTGTTTCTCTGCTCAGATAAGATTAAGCCCTTTTCAACATTTTTTCTTCAAAGATTATATGTTGAAAAGCTTAATATTTTGTGTTGTAAGTTGAGAAAGAAATGGAGGAGAAGATGAAGTTCACTGCAAAAGATGTCGCCGAAGTAGGCTGCTTTTCATCTTCATCATTGCACTGAGGAACCAGTTGAAAGTGCAGTTCTATCGGAAGGAAAACTGTTGTAACATTTACAATGTTTATTAGTCATATATGCATATATATGGTTTAAGAGACTATTATATGCTAGTGTATATGATTCAGTCAATACAAGATTCTAAGGAACTGATGGCAGGTTCAATAAACAAGTGTTCAGGCACAGATCTTACACAAATCCATTTAAACTAACCAAAGAAAACGTCCCTGGTGAACAGAGAGGCTGTAAATGAAGATTACAAATAACAGATTAAGCTCCAAAGAGATTATATTTCTTATTCCTTCTTTCTTTTATCCCACTGATTAAAATTGGATTAAAATTGCAGATGTGGACTCTCTTTCGAATGGTTATAAACCAAGTAGAATGTCAGAGTTTGCAAAAGCTTTCCTCAATTTGTGCTTGGGGGGGGGGGGGGAAGTGTGCCCATCTTTTAACATCTATGCTGGAAAGTTAATATCTCCATGGCTACCAAGAAAGGATCCATTGCATTCCAGTTCATCCATGTTGTTTCCAATACAATCTTGCTTTTGCAGTGAGGCAATTCTATGACCATAGCAACAATCAAGCATAGCTTGGCTTGAACATGGATGGTTAAGACTCCGAGCAATTTTCCATCTTTAAACATCATCCATATAGTTTCAATTCTCTCTTTGTTTTTGCAGTGAACCAATTCATTGTCTTGGCAACAACTAAGCACGGTTAGGCTTGAACAATGATGGTTAGATAATGTTTGAGACTTTGGGCGACTTTCTTCGGCGTTAAGCACTTATTCAAATTGCTTCAATCCCCTCTTTCTTTTTGCAGTGAGTTAGTTCAATGTCCATGGAAACAGCCAAGCATCGCGTGGTTGAACTTGGATGGGTTGAGAATGTTGAGACTTTGAGTCGATCATCACCATAGACAAATATGATTCTATAGACAAGTGATGACCCTGGCGTTGATGTATCATTGACATAAACATAAAAGGAAATTTATGATCAGAAACCATATCACATTTGTAAATAATTCAGACCTAAACCATGTTTCAGCCAGATATATGAGCAGAAACCATTGTACAAAATTCCAACAATAATCCTATTATTAACTAGACAACCTAAACAGTTTAACTAAAAAATTGGGAGGGGGCCGCGCGAACGCAGGCCCCCACTGCCACAAATTATGATGTAGGCTCTCCCACTTTGGGGAGACCTTAGGCGAGCACCCCTCCTAAGTGCAATGGAGGTCACTAACCTAGGCCATGGACCTCATTGATCGCCCATTGACCCCATCCAGGTAAGTATGATGCAACAAAGTTAGTTGCCTCTTATTTATCAAGCCCCGCTCGTGCTCCCTTCTCTTTCTTGATTAATGTGGGATTAATGCTTTATCATAAATAGTCCTGCATATGAACTTATCCCTGTTGAGACTGACTGAAGCCGCGGCGGATTTACAAAGAATATGCAAAACTCTAAATAGATTATAATCTCCTTCCTTGTTTCTTTATCTAACTGATTGAAAATGGCTTTAAATCATACATGGACTCGGTTTCGAATGGTCATGAACAAGGAGTCTTCAAAAGCTTTCCTCGTGGCTGCCAAGAACGGATCTATGCTAAAATGTTAGTATCTTCCATGGATGCCAAGAATGGATCCATTTCATACATATTGTTTTCAATATTCTCTTGCTTTTTCAGTGACCCAATCCAACTTGCAGGGAAACAACCAAGCATAACTTGGCTTCAACATGGATGATTAGAAAATTTTCAGAATTTGGGCAATTTGTTTTTGCTATAAACGTTCATCCAAATTACTTGCTTTTGCAGTGAGACAGTTCATTGGCCATGGCAATAACTTGGATGATTTGAGAATGTTGATAAGGCATAATCACCAATCTAAATTTCCCAGGAATTATCTGTAGAGTTTCAAGAAGCTTTTTTTCTTTCTCAGCTCAGATAAGATTAATCCCTTTTCAACATTGAAGATTTCATAAAGCGTTTAAGGGAATTTGATGTTTCGAGCATCCCTGTAAGATTATACAAGCTTTGAGGAATTTCACCCTCGAGGTTGTTGCAATTTGTTGGAGAGGGCTAGGATTCGGAGACTGCTAGACGCACAGATCAATGAATATTGATCCATAAATGGAATTGTTCCCAAGATCAAGTACTTGACCAATGGAATTGTCCTAAGATCAAGTACTTGAAGAGAGGACAATTGAGAGAAGAAATCTGGGAATTCACCACTGATATTGTTGTCATGAAGATAAAGGTGTTCAAGAATTCACAAATTGCTATTTGCAATGGACGGAAAGCATCGAGGTGAAGAATCAAAATCCGCAGGAACTTTACCGGAGAAATTATTGGAAGAAATATCAACAAAAGTAATTAAGATTTTGATACAAATGCTGGAAATTCACTGCCTGAGAAGCTATTGTTTGACAAGTGCAGCAGCAACAAGCTGTACATGTTTGAGATGGATTTTGGCACCGGCCCTGAAAAATTGTTTCCTGGGAGCATGAGTATCATTATTGAACTAGTATTGATTTCTGGCAATTCCCCAGAAAAGTTGTTTCTCGACAACGCAAAGGATCGATGGATTTCGATATTGAAACAACTGAGGTGGCAAAGAACCTGAGAGCTCGTTATCTGATAAAATAATAGTTCCAAGATTTCGGAAAGTACGATGTGTGTCTATAAATAATGACGTGACTTTTGAGATGTATTATTTGTAGATTTTTTTGTACTTTGAAATAAATTTGGCAAAGGATAAATAATTATGAATTCAGAGCATCATATGATTCAACAAACAGCTGCCATAACTTTCTGAGGTTCTCAAATTGTATTAATTTCCTTCTCTTTCCCCCTCCCAACCTTTACATTCACATCTGAGAAGATTTTATAGTAGAAAGAACAAACCCCACCAATAGTGAATACCAAAAGTACCTCAACAGCTTCAGATTTTGAGCATTCTCTGTTCATCTCAGACCGTCACAATGTACACTCCAGAATTAGCAGACCGTCCGCCCGTAACAGATCGATGCAATGTAGAGATTTTTTGCCCATTTTTCCTGCAACAAGCAATCACCGGGGTATTAAAAAATATAAACTCCTCGAATCAAGAGGTCGAACTTCTATAATAAAGAGAATAGACAGAGCTGCACTTGGTGGTTAGCACTCATTGCTAATGCTAGAAAAAACTAACCAGCATGGCCACAGGTTTTAAAAAAAGATCAAGGGGACAAAAATCAGCTTATACACACCTTAACATGGGTGCTAGGAAAGGTCGATGTGCGAAGAGTTTCCTGGGTTTCATCCATCGTTTTTCGTTTTGGAACACTTGGTATGAAGGCAGCTTGGTCTACGGTTGCAGCCATTGATGTTATCCGGTAACCACTCTCCCAACGCCGATGTATTCCTTCGCTTGGATACAGAAAGTCGAGTTCCACAACCTGGATCATTGACAAACATAAAATGAAGTTATAAACAGCTAGCTACTCTTGTAAACGGAGAGCAATAGAAAAACAGAAAAACGTAAGTGAAGAGCAAATGGAAGGAATACCTGATCAGAGAATCCAGCATTTTTCGACATAACCACACCCCACCGATTCCCGGAAGTTGTCATCGATGTTACATGAAAGCCTTCTTTCCACTTCTTATTTATCCATTTGAAGGGAAAAGATTCACTTACTTTGTACGACTGTTGAGTGTAAGGAGTTCCTATAAAGACATTTTGACAACGGCTCCGTAATTAGGTGATCAGTATAATTTATATTCTGTAGATAGAAACTGAGGAATGAAGGTCGCAAACTTGACGCTCTGCTAAAGGTTTAATTAAAGAAAACAAGCCTTAATTCAACACTTTCTTTTCTCCACACAAGTTCTTAACGATGCAAATCTGTAGACGGGCATGCAAACCTATCATATCTGTCCTTGAATGACTACGATTAATCTCATGATGCTATAGATGTACATGCCTGCAGCATCTTGGCAACAGGTCCAGGGATATGCACCTAATTTGCAAGTGTCTTGAACCTCCAAGTTAATTGTAATATTATAATATATGAATTTAATCATGCAAACTATGTTCTCAGAAAACTCGATGGCATAGGTATATATATATATTAGGAAATTACCAACCTTTCGACATAACAACCAAGGAACTCCCATTATTTGCTCCAGCTATTGAAGTAATATAGTAGTTCTTTTCCCACTGCTCCATAATCCAATCCTGATGAAATTCAAATTGATATTAAAGTCAGTCGAAACACATGTAAACCGACAGGTAAAACGAGAGGAATTATTGTTTTGGAATGATAACCTTGTGCAGAAAGACTGTTGACAATTCATAAACCTGGGAAGAGAAACCTGTTCCCGCATCCATGATCAGGGCCCAGAGATTGGCTGCTGAAGCCACACAACTAATAAACAATCCATCTTCGTTTCCCTTCTCCACGTGCTGACGCAACCTCGAATCTGCTACATTGTAGTGATATCTACAAGATTGATAAACAGTTTCAGAATGAAGATGAACAAACTTTATGTAAACAAATTTCAAACCTTGTGGCTGAACATCTCTTGTTTTTCACACAAATAAGCATGCACCATAAAAACATAAAAAGAGGCAATCCAGTTTGAATGGACCACATTCAACTTTTAACAACCAGTCACTATGAGTAAAAGTATCTTTTATCATTCACTTTTAACTTTTGCAAACAATGAAAGTATTCTCCAAATATGCTACGACGTTATTGCGAAGATGAAAACATTAAAAAATGCTGAGATTAACTCAATACCCGAATAACTTACAGCAAATGCAAACCGTGCATACCACTAAATATAACCACAAACATGGAGAGGGGATATTGTAGAAATGAATATTACATTTAACAAGAAAACGCAACTTTACCTCTGCTTCATAGGACGTCGTGCATTGTAAACAGAAATCCACTGAGTAGCAGGACTACCGAGTCGTACTTTTTTCTTAGGTTGCTCATCCTCTTCCAAGTTAATAACTAGCCTTCCCCGCTTTTGCCCAACCTATTTATACAAAAGGAAACAGAATAAGATTGTTTATTTGATCATCTATACAATCCAATTTAATTGAAGGAAAAAAACAAACAAACAAACATCTACCTTAAGGGCTCCATCAATTCTAATGGGTCTCAGTGCTATGCATGGTTCAATTAGGCTTTCAAAGAAGGATATGAGCTTGGCATAACTGGGCTCCTCATCGAACTTTAAATTTATAACAGCTTCAAGAAACTGCTTAAATGGGGCTGGACAAAAGCAACACATCAACTCCGGAGATGTGCCCATCTTTTTCTTGCAAACCATAAAACTCTTGTTATCCCCCTACGTGGTTCCAGAAAAAGAAGAATAATTCAGGAAGGAAATAAAATCAGATTATGTACATCATTAATTAAAATGACAATAAGAACCTGATAACCCTGCCACGGTAACCGCCCTTTTATCAGAAATATCAATGTGTATGCCAAGGACTCAAGGTCATCCCTTCGACTTCCGGTCCGTCCTAAATGAGCATGCACACTAGCATACCTAACTGTTCCCCTGATAGAACAAATATTCAAAGATGTTAACACAAAGCATAAGCGGTAATTAGTGACATTTAAAAACCAAGTTTACACACCTGAATACATCAGGCCTCTGATCATAATCAACATGTTTATCAGAGTGTGAATCTTTCCAACTAGAGGCTGATTCAAGAACATGTGAGTCAAGCAGCAATCAGTACCGAATCATTAATAGCATTTATTACATTCAGTAAGACACGACAAAATAAAATCTCACTGAGATCTGACATCAAAGAGAATATACAACTATACACTAGTAGTGAAATATAATGTGCTCAAGGTTGACAGGTAAGAAAGAATATACAGTTAACAGGGAAGAGAGGACTGAGGCAAAGATACCTAAACCAAGATCAATAAGATATAGCTTCTTCTCATCGGCTGATCCAGGCTGACCCAGTAAAAAGTTCTCAGGCTTCACATCTCCGTGCACAAACCTTTCTTCAAGCAGACAATAGACAGTTACAACCAGTTGCAACTATGCAAAACTGAAGGGCAAATTTAATGAACTACAGAAAGTTACAAGATGACCTACCCCTTTAAATGAAGCTTTTCGAGAATAGATATTGCCTCCATTGCGATGCAGGCAACCATATTTGGCGACATCCTGTCACAATACATGTTGCAAAGCTGTAAGACTATGGTAGATACATGTACTCATGTAGACATGTATGGGTAAGTACAACAAAGAGAAAAGAGGAAGATTCTGTTTCTTACGATTGTCCTAGAGAATTCCAAACGTCCCAGAGACTTTGACCAAGCATATCCATTACCTGAAATATTCATTAAATTTCTTTACAATATATTAACTAAATTGGGAGTCAAGATACTAACGAGCTAGAAACAAAAAATCACCAGAATATAGAAGTCTCCCTGGCGACCCTTGTAGTGCACCCCAGGAATCCCATAGCATCCATTTAGGGAACTTTTTTGTGGAGATCAAAAGTTAAAGGAAAAAAGTCAGAATTTATGAACTGCAATAAAATATGTAAATTCCAAAGCTTGACACAATTTTTTGACAAAAATGTCATACCTGTACACTTGCCACTCATACGGTGGACCATAATTGCAACCTTTACTGTTTCGGTGCTCTAACTTCAAGGCTACCTGTGATGAAAAAATCTCGTAACATTAAACCCCAAATGGGTTAACCTGGAAAGTTCTTAAACAGAGGCGTGAATTCTAAGACATACCTCAATTGCATCTGGTCCAATTCCATCACTACCGCCGCTTACCCGTCGGCCAACATAAACTTGGCCAAAACCACCCTTACCCAGTTTCCTTTCTATCTTATATGTAGGAGAATTTCCCACTTGTACCTGCAACAAGAAACATAACGTATTTAGCAAAGAGCTTCATTAAGTTGAATGACTAACCAACTAGGAATTTAGTTGTTAAGAAACTAAGGACTAAACGACAAGTGACCAAACATAGACAGAAAACCCTACAACTTGATGCAGTTAAACATTCCTCACTTTCATGCAAACTCGACACAGAAATGGTTATCCAGATAGTTTCAAGCAAATTTGAAATGCCGAAATAAATATATCACTAAATCTGAAATCATAAAACCAATATAGTATTCAACTCGTAACGGGGGGAAAATTGTATTCAGCCAACTTTCTCACTAAAAGTTATGCAATTTAATATGGAAGACTTAAAACTAAACTATATACATTCAACAAAAGGGGAAAGGTTTAGTTAGTAATATGAAGCACCATCTCAGGAACCGGGGTTGTGCTGGGTTCTTCTTCAACTCCCACTACTTTGTCACCACTCCCACCCTCCATTGCAATATCTTTATCCGCCACTACCTCTGCTCGGTTGAATACAGGTTCAGCAGCAGCCAAAGGTGCAGTCTCAGGAAGAACCTGATAATGCTCAGGGTCTAAACCAGCCAACCTAGCACCGCGGCCTCTACCAGCAGCTCTTAACCTTGCAGGTACCGCCGGTGAGGGTCCTTTGTCTACACCTACAGCATTACCCCTTCGTCTTCCACCGACTCTCCTCCTGGTTCTGTTTTGAGCAGGCAGTTCCCAATTCTCCTCTTGATCAATAAGTTGAGGAGGCGGCTCAGGATCACCAAGGCGTTTCGATCTCCGGGCTCCACTTCGCAATTCTGGCATCCTCACTCCATGCAATTCACATTGCCTAACTTCCCTGCCCACCACTCCAGATCTGTAACCGAAAATGTTCGAACTTCATAAATATAGAACTAATGAACACATGTAATAAGAAAATCGTCACCCGTTTGGAAAGCTCTTTAATCGACAACCAAGTATCTGAATTTTTTTTAACACAACCTAACGCAAACAACCAAGATTTAGCATTAAAAACACTATCATTGAGATTATTATCGAAATGTGGAAACAAGAAATTCTTACTATAATCATCATCCACTAAATTTCTCATAGTGGATATTAAGTAGAATATTTAGCAAATAGCCTTCAAAAGAGATTCTGTTTTTATCAAGTACCACACAGCTACAAAGCAAATGTAGCTGCATACATATAAAAATCTATGCAAATGCATCACATATTTGTTAAAAAAAATAAAAAATCAAACTTCATAGATCGCCGCTATCAGTCATTTCTTTATCGAACTAAATAAACACCAATAATTTACAATATAAAAAGGGTAAAGTATAGTAATGGTCACTGAACATTTCAGAAGCTTGCATTTAGGTCCCCAACATTTAAAACTTGCAATACAGTCCCCCAACATTTATTCCGTTTGCAATATGGTCCCCCAACTTAAACCACAGTTAGAAAATTAGGATAAATTATATAAATGGTCATTGAACTTTTCAGTCACTTGAATTTAGGTCCCCAACTTTTAAAACTTGCAAAACAATCATCAATTTCATTCTAAACCCCAATTTCCAAAGTAATTCAATTTTATTCTAAACCCTAAATTCCAAAATACTTAATTTAAATTCAATTATGTCAAAGTTATTATTATTTAATTTCATCTTATTTCATGTGATACGTATTTTTTATATAAATATAATAGTATAATTCTTATCTGTTGAAGAAATTTTTAAATAAAAAAAGTAGTTAGGATATAAAAGAGGTTGAAAATAATTCGAATTTTAAATTTATAAAATGTTATTTTGACGTATAAATAAAAGTGTAAACTACTCGGTTGACAACTTAACTATCTAGCCCTTTTTACTTTTGTCATCGATCTTTTAAATTTATCAATCATACCACATAATTATTTAACTGTTTCAACTAAGCCACTAGTCGTTACCAATTGATAAAATGATGATGTGGCAGTTAAAAGGAATTGACATTATTATACATTCAGTCTTTATTATTTATATAATCAATTTGGTCCTAAATTAAATAAAATTTAATAAATTAATCATTTAATTAGGATCTGACATGTGTTAGCACATGATCATGACACGTGTCATTGGTGACACGTGTTACCACCTAATTATTTATATATGCTATCAATTTGGTCCTAAATTAAATAAAATTTAATAAATTAATCATTTAATCAGGATCTGACATGTGTTAACACATGATCATGATATGTGTTATTGGTGACACATGACACCTCCTAATTAGAAGAAAATTAAGTTACAAAGAAGTAAAATTTGGGTCTTGGGCAAACTCAAACCTGAGTCACGCAAATGAAAGATATAGGGTGGAGCCACTAAGCTAACACCATCGTTTGTGTTAAGAGATATACAATAATACATATACTAATAGTATGACCAATGCCAGAAAAAAAAGAATATAATGTAAAATGGAAATAATGAGATTTGAACTTCGGCAAAAAATTTGAAAGCAATAAATGATGGGAAAATATTATATTTTTTACAATAAAAAATATTATATTTGATAAATTGTTTGATAGATTTAATATTTTTTAAATATTAGTTGATACAATATTTTAAAAGAATAAATTTAAGATTTATATATTTTTAAACTAAATTTAATAATTATATTTTTCATATTTATAATTCATGATTATATATATAATCTTAAGTTGAGTATTTCTAATATAATTAATAATTTTAATTTCTTATTAAAAATAAAATATTCAAAAAATATAAATGATTCATACATTAATATATGAATATATTTTTTATTTATACATCTAAATATAAATATACATTTATATATATATATTTTTATTCGTTGTGTCTGTGCCTTGAACTCTTTCTTCAAGCCTATATTACCTTAAATTGAAGTATTTTAGAATTTAGGGTTTAGAATAAAATTGAATTACTTTGGAAATTGGGGTTTAGAATGAAATTGATGACTGTTTTGTAAGTTTTAAAAGTTGGGGGACCGAAATTCAAGTGACTGAAAAGTTCAATGACCGTTTATATAATTTATCCTAATTTTCTAACTGTGGTTTAAGTTGGGGGACCATATTACAAACGGAATAAATGTTGGGGGACTGTATTGCAAGTTTTAAATGTTGGGGACCTAAATGCAAGTTTCAGAAATGTTCAGTGACCATTACTATACTTTACCCTAAATATAAATGCCTTTTAAAAATCATTTTTAAAATGAAAAAAATACTTTCATTTTAAAGTAAGTTTCTAATTTCTGATATTTTTTCTTCAAAAAAAATCTGTAATTTTTAGTAAATATTAATACATCTATTTTCTATCTTACTTGCTTGAATTAAGCATTTAAAATGTATGCATGACAAAGGTAACAATATGGAAAATATTTGAGAGTGCGTGCTTTTATGGATTCAAATAATTAACTATTTCTACCTAGATAGTTTCTGGAAATTGTAGGTAACTAAAAAATTTTCGTTTTTCTTTTCTCGGTTCTCTGAACCTGAAACACCATTTTCGTTTGAGGATAATATGATTTTGGTAATAAAATCTGATAATCCGTACATAGATTTATGATGATCGATGGAGGAGACGGTGGATACACATAAAATGAAAGATAACGTAAGCGACGAAGGTAGCAGAAACAAGTACAAGGCAAAATTTTTGAGGAAGATGAAACAACAAAAAAGTAAATTAAAAATTTACCCTTAAACTACGACGTGGTTCGAATCAGCGCACCATTATTGTTCGTTTTCTGTTTTTTCTAACGTAAGAATTAATGTTTCATTTTTATTGCTGTAATAACATAAAAGATAATACTATAATGTGTATATGCGCGCCACATTAACTTTCTTGTGGATCATATGCACCAACTTTTGATCTGTCCAGTTATCAAAACTTCTTGTCAATGTCTTCTTGGCAGAGAATATCTTTGGTTAATACTATGTGCATCGTGTGCGAGACAACGAATGTTGATGTGAGTTAAGTGTCGCATGTTGTTGAAAAAGACACAAAGATTTAGGGGTGTTTGGTTCAAAGATTGTGAGATTATCATGAGATGAGAATTCCACATTCTCATGAGATGAGAATTCCACATTCTCATGTTTGGTTGGTCGGGAATCTCATTCCCGGTAATGTTTTATTACTAATAATATATTTTTTGGATATATTAACGGTAATGTCATTACCTCCCTTCCCTTAGGTATTGTAACATTACCAGCTTTTTGGACTAAAATGTCCTTAAAATTTTATTTTTTTCAAAAATATCATTCTTATGTCATTGAATAATAAAAATTCTACGAAGGTTAAATTACAAATTTATCCTTAAATTATTTTAGATTTACAAAAAAAAATCTATAATTAAAATTTTATATGAATTTCAGGGGTTAAAAAAAATTTACCCATTCATTAAACCTTTTTTATATTTTTAATTTTGTAAAAAAAATTATATAAATATTATGAATTTAATTTTTTTCTTATTTTTTAGTTACCAACTCATACTTCTATTAATGAATTAACAAAAATCAATGGAAGAAAAACGAATAATTTTTTTTTTGGAAAGAAAACTCTTCTTTCTTCTATGAATGTGTTGAAAACCACCTGTTTGATATAAATTTATGTTTTTATTGAAAAATTGTAGTGTGAATATGATTTTATGTGCTTTAAATTTTATTAAACGATGTATTTGAGATGACTATATTGTGCATTTCATGAAAGCCTTCACTTATCAGTCGTCTGTTGTGATTCCAACTTTTGACAGTTATTTGTTTATATTTCCATGTCTGCTAAAGTAATGTTTTTGATTGGACTGGCAATTCATGTTGTGCTGTGTTCATGTATTTTACCATGTCATACTGGTTTTTACATGTTAATAATTCATATCATATTATCATATGAATTTTGAGACATTGGTATATTTGTGTCCTTGATCATTATTTTTTTTCTCCGTTTCGGTTTATGTTTTAGTTATTTTTCGGTGTTTGTGTTCAATATTGCTAGATCAACTTTAATCCAGGCAACCATCTCCCTCTTCCTCTTTCTTATGTTTGTGTTAGTTCGGCAGGCTTGTTGGTTGTTAATGGGTACTTTATTTGTCTTTGGTGTAATTCTTTTCTTAGGTGTTCAAGAACCATGGAGCTTCAGCCGGGGCTTCAATGAGTCACTCTCACAGTCAGATAATAGCTCTTCCAATTGTTCCATCCAATGTTTCTGTTCGGCTTGACAGTATGGAGGAGTATTTTTACCAGACAGGGAAATGTAGTCTCTGTGAGGTCCAATCAAAGGACCTCTTGATTAATGAAACCAGCCATTTCATTTCAATCACACCATTTGCTGCTTTATTTCCTTTCGAGATGTGGATAATTCCTGGATATCATACTTCTCATTTTGATGAACTAGACAAAGAAAAGGTAAATTCTAATGCTTCATGTTCATGGTTGTATTCTTTTATGATTTTACCTATGTCTCTTTCTATATCTTTCACATTTTCACTTAGCTTGTTTGATTTGGTAATTGGTACTTTCGGTGGAGATAACAGTCCCAGAAAATTTATGTTTTCACTCATTCGGGATAGATATATATCCATGAGAAAAGAAGGAATTAAACGTCAAATGATTGTTCGACATGGTCTTAGTATGTATACAATTTATTGAATTAATGTTGAGAAATTTATTTGGAGCTTAATACGAGTATTATTTCCCGTATTTAGTGAAACCGAGATGTTCTATTTAGTGGCTTTGCTTTGTTCTGTTAGCAATAATGATGCCAGTTTGGCCTTTAAAGTAGCCTGCAAAGGATATGAGGAATCTTTAAGGAGACATAGCAATGTCGTGTGAGCACAAAATGCCATGACCACTGTTTAACTAATACTTGTAGTCTTGTGTGTGATGGTACAAAACAAGTGATGCTAAATATGAATGAGAGTAAATGAATTCAGTTTTTATGTATTTGCTTCTCTCTTGACTTTCATGTCAGCTAAAATGCATGTCGTATTGTTGCGAAAATGTTGAAGGTCAAGAGCAGGTTTTAGTTGTAGATGGAGTGATGGAAAGAATTAAAGAAAGAAGTTTATGCTTTTTAGTGCAATAAAATGGTAGCTGTATGTTTATCCATAAATGGTAGTTTTCTCACATGGTTCCATTTGATTCTCGTTATGCAGGCAGTTGATCTTGGTCACTTGCTGAAACTCATCCTTAAAAAGATGTCGGCGCAGTTGAATAACCCTCCATTCAATTTCATGATTCATAATTCACCGGTCCACGTTGCCGACTCCAAGTTACCATACAGCCACTGGTTTTTGCAGATAATACCTCAGTTAACCGGTATAGGCGGTTTCGAGCTTGGATCTGGATGTTACATAAATCCAGTTTTCCCTGATGATGCTGCCAAAATTTTGAGGGAACTTGATGTTCCTGTACAAGGTTAAAAGCTAATTTACACCATACTAGTAGTGTAAAATCATATTGCAATAAGGAGAGGGGGGGAAAACTCAATTTACATGAAGAAATCTCATGTAAATCCATTTGAGCCCTTAGTTGCTTTTTACTTTTCTGGTTTACTTATCTAATTGTATTGGTTTATGTGATTTATTTACCATGTTATGTATTTTCTTGGAAAAAAGAGAGAAGAAAGTAGTGTTCAAATATAGAAGGGATCCAATGCAGCTAGGCCATACTTGCTTTTTTACTCACTTGATGGGGCCTAAAGTTTGATGACCATCTGAAGTGAGGCTTAAACTAGGTATTAAATCAAAGGGTTACAATTTAGTACATAAACTATTATTTTTGTCCCGTTTTGGTACCTAAATTTTATTTTTTAAAATCATGCTTGACGTTTAGTTTAGATTTCATTTTGGTACACCTGTTGAAAATTTAATGATGTTGATATGTCACCATAAGGTAATGTCACGTCATCATTGATTTTTTTTTAAATATCATGTCAACAGTTATGTTAAGTTTTTAATGAAGAGTACCAAAATAAAATTTACACTAAATGTGAGGTATGATTTTAAAAGAAACAAAATTTGTGCACCAAAATATATCAAAAATAATAATTTTGTTACTAAATGTATAGTTTACCCTAAATCAAATCAACACTCCCAAGCCCACAAAATAATTTTTTTTAAAAAAATTAAAATCATCTAAAATTTGAACCTATATTTTACGATTAAATTCATTTCAATTAAAGCTAAAACAATATTTTTTATATATAAACATGGGATAATCATAATTTAGTATTTATTCACAAATAACTCTTAATCTTTTGATATTGAACGTTCACACCCATAGTATTTATGATGTTCGAACTCAGGGTTGTGGCTAGATATAATGGGGCCCTGTACAAATTCTTATAATGATGCCCCTATTTTCTATAATCAATGCTTATGAAGTTTCAAGTAGAGTAAATAAGAAGAGAAAAAGTAGTGGGGAAATGGGAGCACACTGTTTAGGTTACTAGTGAATTGTAGTAACTGCCAGATAAAGGAGCGCATTGTCTGCAATCACACGAAACCCAAAGCAGATCGTTACCCATATCCAATTCTGTATTATATTAATGAGTGGTATTAATACAACTGCATCACACCAAATATATTAAAAAGGGTGATGTTTTCATGTTCCCCGAAGGCCAAAGGTCTGGTTCATTACAGCAGTGTTTTGGGGCCTCTATTTTGGGGGGGTCTGCGTCGTCGCGTAGTTTGCGTCGGGTCAGTTACGGCCCTGTTCGAACCTAAATCCCCAAAGAATAAAAACAATTCTTTTATCACTGAAGTCACTTAATTCGTACAGCTCAAACATGATTAAAATTAAAATTAATATGCAATCCTTTCTGATTTAAAATTTTGAACATAATACTAGGAGTGAGCGTTCGAACGAGTCGAGACAAAAAATTTCGAGTTATACGAATTGACGAGTCTTATTTTACAACTCGAAGTTGACTTGGAATTTTATTGAGTCAAGCTTATAAAATTCGAGTCAAGTCAAATTTTGGAGTTTTTGTTTAAATTTAATTGTAATTATTTATAATATTAAAATATTATTTATTCTAATTTAAATTATTTTATAATCATATACAATAAATATATATTTTTCATATGTGATATACATATATTATATAAAGTCGAATGACTCGATTCAAACTTGAAAATCAATCAACTACTTACTAAAAATCTTGAATTATTTGAGTTGTATTTTACAACATGATTTGATTGTGATTTTTTTTAATCGAGTCTTATTTATAAAATTACAATTCAAAATAAATTTGAATTAATTTTTTTCAAATTAAAAAATCAATTTTTCTAAACAAGTCGAATTTTGCTTCCTACCTTCTGCCAAAAGAAAATATAGTGTGTACACTCTTTCTCTAAACCTACTTCATTAAAGACAGCTCTCTCTAAAGGCTCCTTGTTTTTGGCGGCTACCCTTTTCTTCAAGGCCCACGCCATTTATATCTACTTGCATTTCTAGGGTTTTTCTTTCTTCCTCCTCCTCCATTTGCTCGGGTCATACTTTATCTCACTAAATCTACACCCCCTGCTCCGTGACAATGGCCACAGTTGAAAGTATCCTCGCTAACTTCACATATTTGGGTGTTGCTTTGTTTTTCTTTTGTGGATTTGTTGATATTTCCTTTTGTTATCATTCTTTGTGATTTATTTTTAGTTAGATTAACTTAGGAATATTTATTTTTTTGGGAATAATGTTTAGTGGATATTTGATTTTTATGGAAAATTTTGAATTTCATGCTTTGAAGGTATTTTTATTTGGATCATTGCTGTTGAAAATTTATGCTATTTTTAGGTGTGGGTTTTAGTAGAGTTTACTGAAAGGTTCCTTTTTAAAAATGTCTCTGCTTAATTTCAATCTTCTTTTTCCATTATTTTCCCCATATTTTATAGGTTTGTAGGGTGGTTTTTTGAGCTTACGTATTTAATTGTGTTGGCTATGGATCTTTGTTTGTTTTCTATTTGTATATATAGATAGATTTACCTTATGGTTTTGATAGCTTGAAGTTGTAGTTTTGTTAGTTGCTTTAAGTGCTATGCTTTGAATATAGTTAAACGTTTGTAGAACAGAATTTTCGAATTTCTGGTATCGTTTTAATTCTTCACTTCTACACTCGCAGAAGTTGTAGATTCACTAGAGAGTTTTTCTCTGAATTCGCAAGCTAAGACCAAGAAAGTTCCCGTGCCTGTCAAGAAGGTAGTATTTGGATTTTGGACTATGAGATGCTCATTTATTGTTAACCTATTAATTGACTTTGAGGTTCTGTATTCTTGCAATTTTTTGGGATGATGTAATTAATTGACAAGTTTAATGTTATTGACAGGATTTTGACAGTGATAATAACTCTTACATGTACCCGCAGACTTACGGTTATGTGCCATACGGGACGTACTCCATGCCCAGTTCACCTCTTCCTCCTATGGGACATGATGGTCAGCTACATGCATTGCAGGAATACTATTATCCAAGTGCTTATTATCAGGCACCTCTGCAAACTAGTCAAGCCAAATCTTCTCAAAGGGACATATCAACTTCAGGTGTATCTGATCAAGCTTCCTTATCCAATAAAACAAAAACAGGAAATTTGAGCACTATAGCAAGCGGTGGGGTTTTGAGTGGCAATAATGGATCAGAGTCACTAAAATCAACTTCTAAGGGCTCCTCTCTAAATCCCAATGTTTCCTATAATAGAGTCGGCCATCAGGATTCAACATTTAGCTATGATGGGGTCCAGCCTACTCCTTGGTTAGATATGACAATATCTTCTAATGGGCAATTGAAATATACGGTAAATAGTTGATTCTCTTCATAATTAAAAGAAAACCTTTCATCTGGTAGGAATGGAAATTTTCATCCTTTCCTCATACCATAGATTGATCCTTGCTTTATAGATACCTGGATTCTAACCCATACACGCACTAACACGGATTCAAAGTTAGCATAAATAGAATTATAGACATACTAAGTTATGTAGATGTAAGATTTGTGTGTTTCATTGTTGGTTGACCTGATTGTTCTAATGATCTGAATGCAGAATTTCGACAATGGACGACCATCATCAGGTGCAGCCCAAGCATTTGGTTACCTGAACCACATGTACCCTAACAACATGGCCTACTGTCACTACGGAGATACCATTAGAGGGGGTTCTGGTTTTGGATCATATGGCTACTATACCTGGAAGAGGGGACAAGGGTGCTATAATGTGGGTAACAACAACAAATATAAGGGTCATGGTTATGGAAAAGAGAATATGGATGGTTTAAATGAGCTGAACAAAGGACCTAGAGTAAAAGGGTGTACGACCAAGGATGGTACAAAACTAGCTGTTGAAGACCAGAACATTCCACTGACTGACAGCAACAAGGAGAACAGTGTTTCTCTTGTGCCAGATATGGAGCAGTATAATAAGGAAGATTTTCCTGAGAGTTATTCAAATGCCAAGTTTTTTGTCATTAAATCATACAGTGAGGATGATGTCCACAAAAGCGTCAAATACAATGTGTGGGCCAGTACATCTAACGGCAACAAGAAACTTGATGCAGCATTCCGTGAGGCCAAGGAGAAGTCTGATGCCTGCCCTGTTTTTCTATTGTTCTCAGTGAGTATAATAAATGTTACCATATGCCGGTTAAGACTTCTGGTTTACTGAGTATATATGGTTTGCCTGATTTTTACTTACCTGAACCCCTTTTCAGGTTAATACCAGTGGACAATTTGTTGGAGTAGCAGAGATGGTTGGCCAAGTTGATTTTAACAAGTCTGTAGAATATTGGCAACAAGACAAGTGGACTGGTTGCTTCCCTGTGAAGTGGCACATCATTAAGGATGTGCCAAACATTGCACTGAGGCACATAACACTTGAGAACAACGAGAACAAGCCTGTCACTAATAGTAGGGACACCCAGGAGGTATTCTCCCTCCGTGTGTTTGATGTGTTATTTCTGCGTTTTTGGTATATCCATCATTCTCATTACAAAATGGTTTGAGCTTCTGTAGGTTTATTTCGAGCAGGGGCTTCAAATTCTCAAAATCTTTAAGGATCATTCCAGTAAGACATGCATTCTTGATGATTTTGAATTTTATGAGGCTCGTCAAAAGACAATCCTAGAGAAAAAGGCTAAGCATCAGCTGTTGCAAAAAAAAGTATGCCTGACACTGAATTAAATCTTGTGCCTGGATTTTGTTTTCTTCCTCCACTTATTTAACATATTTTCATGCCTTTTTTTCATATGGAATCTTATAGATATCTTGCATAAACTGTTTAAAATATTAACTGCTTTTATTCTTCCATAACAGATTTTGAGGGGGGTACCTAATGATTCCCATGTGTTTGACAAGGAAAATGTGACGATAGAAAAGAACACTTTGGAAAAACCTGTAGGGGAAGCCTTTATAAAAGAGCCAACTGTTGTATCAACAGAGGTGGTAAAGGATAATGGAGATGTGAAACCTATAGAGGAGAATGGATCAGTTACAGCAACCAATGGTTGCCCCAAATCAGCTTCTGTTGCAAGTGCGTGCTAATTGACTTCAGCGATTAGGAAGCAGTGTTGTACTTTTTGTTGGTTATTGACAAGCTAGCTGCTTCAAATCGGACATTTTGAGTCTCTGTCTTCGACTGATCTGCAACTTATTCCCAAGGAGGTAGGATTGAGAGATGCCTTTCAGCATTTCCTTGTAGGCAAAATAGCAATTAGCAACATGGTGAAACTGAATGCGACTGCTGAATAGCATGAAGTTTGCCTTTTCGTTTTTTCTTTCATTTCTCATCTGTTTTCTTTTTGTTTTTCATAGTGAGAGAGAATTGCAATTAATCGTGTTTGCATTTGATGACGGTGTGGGTTTTTGTTAACATTTCTAGTATAGGGAAGTGAAAGACTAGTATTTGAGACTTGTACTGTTGTTCACAATCTATAATTTATGGGGTGTAATAAATTTATTGTGCGAGAAATAAGCGAGCAATGTGTAATTCACTATGTTACTACAGTATTTATCCATTAGAAACTAGAAAATATGCTTCAGCTAAATTGCTAATGCCTCATTTACTTTAACTTTTTTTATCTACTGTTCTTTTGGCATTAATCATTTAGACAAATCTCATTGTCACCATTGATGCTGCCTCTATAGTCGGGTGAACTTGAGTCTGCAGTGAAGATTTGAGTTCTAGGAGGTAAGTCGCAGCAAGAGGAAATTTGGATTAGCTTTTACCTGCATAAGCTCATCAGTGGCTAGGTTAAAACAATTAGCAAGGTTTGTACTATACTTTTTTACTAGTAACTCATGATTTGAGCATTGGTAATTGTTGTTTCTGCTTTTACCTTTAAATACTTTGTAGATGTTTGAGATTTTGGAGGAATTGGTAGAGGAAGGTTCTGAAAATATCAATATTCAAGACGATAAGCAACCGAGTACTGGTTCTGTGATTATTAATTCTCATCTCGAATAGTTAGAGTACCTCCACGGAGACGATTGAAAGCCTGTTTTCAGGGTTCTTCAAAACAAATTTTAAAGTTAAGTAGGCTATCTATGTCACAGATTATGGTGTTAAGTGATCTAGAATTAAAACAGAAAAGATCAATAATCACTATAAATGCATTGTTAACAGTTCTAGAAAGCTACTTGATATTATTATGTATGAATTAGTTGAAACTTGGGGATTAAAATTTATCTTTATTTCAAATGTCTTCTTTCAGATTGAATTGAGCAATACAGCTGATACTCTAGAGATGAGTTATGTTGTTTTCCTTTATTCACTGAGCACGACAACAGCAGCCATTGTCGAGGACAATGAACTTCAACTAACCAGACTTGGCCATAAGGACAAATTGCTACCGAAAAGGGACATCAAAAAGACCTGTTTCCCGACATTCTTCTGAACACTTTTCCTAAAGTGAATCTAAGTTGGAACAATATAGAAGCTTTCATCCTCAACTTCAGTCCAAAACAAAGAAATGAGGGCTACAATTATAATCAGAAAGAGTCCAAAAAACATTTTATAAGCCGTCATCTTACGTACTTTCTCGTTTTGGAACTCTAGAGTTTCTTTCTTGTTCACAGAAACGGCAACCATTAACACCTTGGACATCAAGCTCGGCAGCAATGTCACCCGTTGATGACGCAGATTCACCATCAGTATAAGAACGGGTTTTTCCTTTGACATCATTGTTTGTACCATGCCAATAACTATTATTGTTTGTCATCCGACTGTATTGTTTCCCGGAGTAATCTGAGTTCAAATCGTTAGGATCTTGAAGAGAGCGGATGAGCCTCCTTGGAGTCGTAAAGAGGTTGTTTATGCTAATCCGAGAACGAGACTTCTGAAGCACAAAAAGTTGCAATACGAATGCAGTTTTTAAATAAACAAATAATAGGGCAAAAGTTAAATAAACAATGCAGAGTATTTTACCTGAGGACAGGGAGTGGCACTTCTTGGTAACCCATTTCCAGGACTTCCATTCAAGAATCCTGAAAATTCCTCGGTGAACTCGGTTCCATGCTTGCTACGAAGGTCGGAAGGTGAATCACAAAGGGAACCTCTGAGCAACCACAGAGAACAAACCATCCTTAAGTGATACATCTACACCTCCATTTTCATATCTCCAATGCTTCCGATTCACACTCCTTTGATCATGTTCCAAGTTGCAAGAAACTTGGGTCATCGAAATCGGCAACTCAAGAAAAGAATCGTATTCCATAAAGGAATCAAGTGTCAGTGATTCAAGTGAAGCGGTTGCTGCAGATTCATCGCTAGTTGCACCTATGTTCCTCCTACGGTTGTGGTCTCTCCTACCGAAATTCGATCCGGTAACCGAACCACAACTGTTCTCAAATTTCGACCCTTCCTCTTGTGCTATTTTCTTTGCAGTTTGAGAAGCTTCATAAGCAGCCCCTTTAACATAAACCATCTGATCAGATTGACACTTCTCCATCTCTTCTATAATCAACTCTACCTCGGAGTATATGCTTCTCGGATCCAACCACTTCATCAAGAAATTTATCATCTTTATCGCCGAAAACCGTTTCTGAGAATTACCTTCTGCAAGTCCAGCAACCAACATTCTCAACCCGGATTTTATCAACAATCTAGAATATGCTTCGACAATCAATGCATTATGCTTAGCGAAAGCCATAACTAGCCCCATATGTGCATTTGTCTGAATAGACCTCTCCTCCAAGGCACAAGCTACATTGTGACAGACATTGTTGACCATCTCATTGGAAGCAAACCGCCAGTTATCAGACTCTACAAGCGCCTTCAAGCAGAGGGCAGCGCTGGAACTCAAACTCTCTTGGGAACCCAAAAGAGATTCCAAAAGAGGCTTACAAAGCGAGTGGATGATATGCCTCTTATTATCTTCAGGAGTGGTCAGATCAATCCCATATCTTGCAATTGCAGGAAGCACCTTTGAACAGGCTTGTTGCAGAGGAAAAGAGCCTGCACTCGAAGCTAATGTTTTGATAATGGTGGACACTATACTATCAATCTGAGGAACAATCTTCACACCATGAACACGAGCAAGAACTTCGTAGAGCGAAATGGTGTATTCGCCGGACACGAACCCGGTTTCTTTGGTCTCCGAAACTTGAGCAAGGAAGACCGGTATCGCCTTCAAATCCAAGTCTCTCACATTTGATTTCAGTGCTTTCATTGCTGATTTTCGACTATCAGCATCTTTATCAAGATTCGCCAACTCTCGCCGCAAAATCGGGCTAAGATTTCTACCCATCTTTTACCTGTAAACAAAGAACAATAACAGCCATTTATGTCACACCCCATTTTTTTTGGGGTTAATAATGATATTTCCTTAATGAAATTTGAGGACAATTTAGCACTTTATGTAAAAATATTACACTAAACTATAACTCAAGAAAAATTTAGGGACTTGACCTTGAATTTACCCATTATTCTTTGATTAGTAAAAAAAATAGTGGCAAAAGAAAGTAATTAAAACGTGTGGTGTGGTTATAAGGATATGAACCCACGTCTTCTAGATGTTAAGCTATCCATTCAGACTAGGCTACAATTAATGATTTATTGCAGAAATATCTCATATATTTAAATATATCATGCCAACTTTCTAGTCTCCCTCTCCACCTAAAAAATCAAGCAACCCCTCTTCGTGAAACACTAAGCCAAACTTTTTACCTTTGATCCAACATTGTGTTCATCGGTGACCTGCGAGCGAAGCCTGATTGCTACCTCGTTGAGAAACATCGCCGTTTGCAATGAAGAACAATTCAAAGTCGCTTCGAAAACCAAAACTTTCGTCGCTGAAAATCGTCGATTCCGACGAGTGCAACACCGCCTGCATTATCGAACTCAACATGTAATTCCGGTCAAGATCCAACCGGTGGATCGTTCCATAGTCGTTGTTTTGTCCATTCGATGCCGGATAAGCATTTTTTATTTTTGCTCATTCATTTTAATTGAGTTTAGCTTGATTGTGGTTTGATTTTTGAGTTGATTTGGGACTATTTTGGTATACCCGATGGTCTATTAATTAATGAATTTTTAAACTTACTTCCAATAAAAAAATATCTTTCACAAACTAAATTTTTAACTTTATTTTAATCATATAAAGATATACAACATGCATACATTATCACACAAACATCATATTTATAATTTATCAAGAAATATACGAGAGTTAAAAGATATCACCTTACTGAAATAACACAAATAAAATTTTTTCGATTTAACTATCCACCGTCTTCTTTTGGCATGATGAAGTTATCAATTTTAGATACAAAAAAAGCTTTTTGGTTTAACTATCTATCATCTTCTCTTGACATGATGAAGTTATCAATTTTAGACATAAAGAAAGTTCTTTCGTCTAACTATCCACCATCTTCTCTCGACATGATAAAGTTGTCAATTTTAGATATTACAGAGTGTTTTAATTTTCGAACTCATCTTAATTATAATATTAAACAGAAATCAAATTTAAAATTATTTGACCGTACTTGACCCAAAACGACTTTATCTTTCGACTAGTTTTCAAATTCTGAAGATTTTTTCTAGACCATCACAAGATAATTTCAACGCATTTAAAACATGAAAAACTAAATTCACAACTTACACATATAAATGACACTAAAATTTTCTTAACAAATAATTTTTGAATGGCTTTGGCCCAATCGGAAACTAAATCCAAAATTCCACAGATCAAAACAGAAAAAGAGCCCACATTCACACCAGTTGTAGAAGAAAAGGAAAGGTTGTTTTCAGTTCACCACTTGAAATAGATTTGGAAATGGAGCCAAGGAGGAATTTGAATCACCGTTTTTCCATTTTGGTGATTACCCCAATGGCCGAAACGAATCCATCAATTTTTTTTAATTCAATTTAATATCCAACAAAAAAAAGGGATTTTTTTAGTCCCCGGTGTGTGTATATTCTTAAGTCCACCCTCTTAAGGCTCCATGGGTTTTTGGCGGCTCTCCTTCCTCCACGCCTTCTTTTCTCTTTCTTTAACTTTCCAACACTAGGGTTTTCCCCCCTCTTTTCTTCTTTTAACTTTCTCTCTCTACCTCCTTTTGGTTTCTCTCTGTAAATCCCCACCCTTGATCTCTATGGTCATGGCCACTCCTGATCGTATCCTTGCTAACTTTACTCCTCTGGGTATGCTATGGGGTTTTTTTTTTGTAGATTTAGTGTTCCTTTATTGGTTTTTTGAAAGAACTTATCTTTTGTTCTCAAGGATTTTCTGCTTGTTCTGAAGTTTTCAACTTGTTTATATAAGTTTTTTGGAATAATTTTAAAGGGCTTTCCTTTTTTTTAATAACTTTATTCAAAAAGTTTATACTTTTTTCTGTTGATTTGTGTTAAATTTCTGCTTTTATAGATTTTGGGGTGATTGTTTTTGAAGTTTATGAATTTGAATGTTTTTTTTATATTTGGATCTTTTCTGTTGAAATGTTTTTGTGATGTTCTAGCAGGGCCTACTGTTTTTAATATTCTATAGATCTGTGGATACGATGTTGTTTGAATCTTATGATTTTGAATCTGTTTTCTTGTTTGGATCTTTGATTTTTGGTGTTCATAGGCATACATAAATATGATATTGATTGCTTGAATTTGTGTTTTAATTTGTTGCTTTAAGTGATATGCTTTGGATATGTTTTGGATATGTTTGAGCTTTTTGTACAGTTCAATTGTTAAGTTCTCTGTTCTGTTTTCATCCTTTACTTCATACAATTACAGAAGTTGCAGATTCTCTGGAGAATTTGTCTCTGGATTCACAAGCCAAGACTACAAAAGTCCCTGAGCCTCTCAAGAAGGTAGTAAATATATTTCGAGTTTCGTATATTTTGATCTTATCTTTATAAAATATTGGCTTGTTTTTAGTTAGATAGTCGGTTATTGGTGTTGGTGGATTATGTTGATTTGCTTTGGGATCTATACTGGTTGCATGTTAAGATGAGCATGTATGTATTTGATATGCTTAATTTCTACCGACAGGATTTCTACAGTGATAATGGCTCTTACGTGTACCCGCAAACTTACGGTTACATGTCATATGCTCCTTATTCTATTCTCAGTTCACCTCTTCCTGCTATGGGACATGAGGGTCAGCTACATGCTTTGCAGGAGTACTATTATCCAAGTCCGTACTACCAACCCTTTCAGCCTACGAGTCAAGCCAATGCTTCTCAGGTTGATGTTTTGAGTTTCAGTCTAGCTGATCAAGCTTCCTTACCGGTTGAAGCAAACAAAGGAAATTCAAGCACTATAAGAAGTGGTGGTTCGGGGTCATTAAAATCAACTTTCAAGAGTTCCTCTGTAAATCCGAATGCATTCTATAAAGGAGGAGGCTTGCCAACAGGTAATCTATCTCAAGGTTATCAGGACCCGAGATTTAGCTATGATGGGATCCAGTCGCCAATTCCTTGGTTAGATATGTCCATGTCTCCTAATGGGCAATCCGAACATGCCGCAAATAGTGGGTTCTCTTCTTATACAAACAACCTGTCATCTGACCGGAATCAGAACCTTCATGCCTTACCTCATGTCACGGTATGTTTCAAACTGTTTAGTTACTTGCAAGCAAGGACACAGTCGCAAAAGTAGATTGATAGGTAGACTGGTGGATAGATATAAGATTACTTTATTGCTTATCTCATCGTTGATTGACCTAATTGTTATATTGATCTGACTGCAGAATGTGCACAATGCAAGACCCGCATCAGGTATAGGCCAAGCATTTGGATACATGAATCACATGTACCCTAACAATATGACCTATGGTTACGGAAACCCCATTCGAGTTGGTTCTGATTTTGGATCATTCGGTTGTGATGGCCAGAAGAAAGGACTAGGGTGGTATAATGATGGTAACAACAACAAATCTAGGTTCCGTGGTTATGGAAAAGAGAATATCGATGGTTTCAACGAGCTAAACAAAGGACCCAGAGTAAAAGGGTACACAAATAAGGATGGTTCTGGAACTGCAACATTAGGTGTCAAAGATCAGAACCTTCCACAGGCTAAGAGTAACGATGAAAACATTGTTTCTCACGTCCCCGATAAGGAACAGTACAATAAAGAAGATTTTCCCGAGACCTATTCAGATGCCAAGTTTTTCGTCATCAAATCCTATAGCGAGGATGATGTCCACAAAAGCATCAAATACAATGTGTGGGCCAGCACATCTAATGGCAACAAGAGACTCGATGCTGCATTCTGTGAGGCCAAGGAGAAGTCTGATGTCTGTCCTGTATTTCTACTGTTTTCAGTGAGTATGATCACATTACAATCTGCTGTCTTGATTTGCCGAGTAAATGATTTGCTTGATTCTTACCAAGTCTGCATCATTCTTTCCAGGTTAATACCAGTGGTCAATTTGTTGGATTAGCAGAAATGGCAGGCCCGGTTGACTTTAACAAGACTGTAGAATACTGGCAACAAGACAAGTGGACTGGTTGCTTCCCTGTGAAGTGGCACATTGTTAAGGATGTTCCGAACACTTCGTTGAGGCACATAATCCTTAAGAACAATGAGAACAAGCCTGTCACTAATAGTAGAGACACCCAAGAGGTACCCTTCTCTCTCTCTCTGTGTATGTATGTATATGCGATTGTGTTATATTTCTTCATCGTAAATCAGTTGGTGGCTGTTGTAGGTTAATTTTGTGCAAGGGATTCAAATCCTCAAAATCTTAAAGGAACATTCCAGCAAGACATGCATTCTCGACGATTTTGCATTCTACGAGAACCGTCAAAAGATCATTCAAGAGAAAAAGGCCAAGCATCGTCTTTTACAGAAACAGGTACATCTGACACTCGCCAATGATGTTTTCCGTACCTTATGCTGTATAGAATTTGATCAATGGCTTGCATATACAGGTCTCGAATGAGGAGTCTAATGATGATGCTGTACCCGATAACAAAGGAACTGCAGCAGTAGCAAAGGAGACTTCGGAAAGGTCAACAGTTGCATAGACGGCGAACGGGGATGTGCAAGCCGTAGAAGAGAAAGGATCAGTCGCTGCAACCGAAGCCAGGAAACCGGTTTGCGTGGCAAGTGCTTGCTGAATCTGGGAACAAGGGTTGTAGTTATGGTTTGGGACTGGTCTTTCTAACTTATTCCTTAGAATGTAGGAATAGGTAAAATGCATCTTACAGTATGAAAACCATTATGGGCAGAATGTAATTTGCTCATTAGCCTTCTGTCTTTCCTTTTTGGTCATTTTCTTGTTTTTTCTCCCTTCGTTTTTCTTGATGAGAAAGCTGAAATGCCGATTTTACCTTATGTTTGCTGGAACACATGGGTTTGTCTTTTGCTCTTTTTCTAGCCAACTTTGTCTTTTTCAAGTTAGAAGTTTACTCACCGTTGATTGTGAAAGAAATGATAAGATTAAGCTAATATAAATTGCATTCTAATTAACATATTAAACACATTACTTGCATTAAATTTTAGCGCATTATTAACATCGGCCATATATTTATAGGAATCAGGACGTTGCTGAGAATGCAAACTAATAATAATACAGCGTCAGTACATACAAGAAGAGAAATATGGTCCATGATATCAATATGAATGTCATAAAGAACAACATCAGTTCTTTCGTGAACATTTGATGTCTTATAAACAATGTTGCCAAATATAACACTTGTCTCAATTGATGTTGGCCTTTATTTGCTTGCTAGATTCAAGAGCTAGGGTATACTTTTTTGACGCTCCACAAGCTTCGGATAATCCATTGCTGCCAATTTTCTAAAGGGTTTCCTTAGTCTGACCGATAACTGTGATATCGAGAGCTATATCATAGTGATGGACAGTGACATAGACTTCAGCATATACTGGATCACTAAATCCTGAAAGTTGAAGAATGTAGTTGAGCTTATTTGCATCATCGGTATCATAAACGAACTCTATAGTTGCACGTTTTAAATTTCTTGAACCTCATCCTCCAACTTTAGTTGACTCATACCTTGAAAGCGTCGTGGTGAGAGTAAGGGTCGATCCACAGAAATTGGGAGTTTGACGATTTACTCGCTTTTGATATGACTTCTGGCGTGATTTGTAAAAGAAATTAGAGGGTGTTTTGGAGAATTAAAACGAAGTAATAAATTTGATTGAAATAAAATAAAAAAGTAAATAAAGAAAATAAAATTCAATTGGTAAAAATCAGCATTGGGCTAAAGCTTTTGCCTCGATTTAAATCGATCCTCGAATTGGATTTTACAGTCTATAGGGCCCAACTCCTATAACTTGTTTTTCTCTCAAATGAATTGAGAATCTAAAATCAATTTTCAGATCTCAACTCTTTGTGAGTTAATAGCGGCAAATACTTATTAATTCAACGCTTTTAAAATCTGGAAAAATCCGACTCAGATTCTATCGTCTCAATTGAGAATCTAACCCGATTTCAGCTTCCCTTAACGATCCGTCACTAAGTGTGTTTACAAGAAAATGAATGTGCCACATACCGATCCTTCCTCCCAACTATTAATCGAAACCGAAATTCAATTCGAACGTGCACTTTTTGAAATGAAATTGCATTGATTTTAAAATGATGGACGATTATTGATCATTGATTTTCAAAAACTGAAAAATGTAACCCTTGAGGGTATGAAGCGCTTTTCGATTCTTACGACCTAGAATCTCTAGCCCTTGGCTATATTAAACTTAGCTAAACATGGTAGAAACCATACTTAACATTTTGAAAGAAAGAAAAATAAAGTAACTTGAAAAAAAAAGAAATAAAAACTTTTATAAATCTAAAGGAAGAAAGAAACAAGAGTTGAATGAATTTTGAATGAAAATCGATGCTTAGAGGCTTACCCTAATATGGTATTTATATCATAAAAAAACCTAGAAAATATTTAAAACAAAAGATAATTCTTAAAAATAAAAAATAAGATAAATCCTAATTTAAAATAAAAAATTCGGCTAAGTCTCTTTCTCTACGCCACTACTGATCGGATCTTCTAGAAGCTGTTGATTGGGCCTTCTAGAAGCAATTGACTGGGTGCACGTCATCACCACATCAGCTGCCATATCAGCCGCTAACTAGATGCCATGTCAGGTGTGTCATGTCCTAAGTCGTGCCCACTAATTCGACCATGAATCTAGAAAATTAAAAAATTGTACGATTTAGTTGTTCTTACTATAATTTCTGGAATTCAATGGCCTACATCGAAAATAAATGAAAATGCCCAAGTTAACTACTAAAATTATCTAATCAAGAAGTAGTTAATCATAAAATAATGTATAATTTAAACACTAATCGAACGTTAACGTCAGAGATTGTATATTGTTGACATTGAAAGTGAACAACCCCGAGACGGCGTCTTGCCATGCTTTGAGTATATCGAGACATAGCAGTATTGTTGTCGGAACAGCGAAAGATGGTGGAACGAGGTGGTTTTTGGGAGGGGCGTTAGGGAGGACTAGTTTAGCATCTTATACCAATTTAGCAGAGGAAGAGGGTGGAGCGAGATGGGTTTAAAGAAAGCTTAAAGAAGGATCAAAGAGCTTTATTTTTGTTGTTTTAGCTTAAGATAATGGACTTTTATTTTAGTGCATTCATGTGAGCCATAAATTCAAAGATTGTGAAAATGTATGTTTGGTGCGTAAATGTCAAGTTATATGAATTAACTCATATATTATGATTTTTTTATGTTGAAAATTGGTATAAGTATTGTAAATTAATGCTTTAGAAGTACTAATGACCTTAGGTATTAATTTGAGGGTCATATAAATTGATTAGAGCTAGAAATTAGGAGATCAAATATGATTTTTGATATTAATATTGTTCTTGCAATATCTTTTGAATATTATAAGAAAATTTGAGTATTTTAAAAATAGAATATCACTATTGATTCATGTAGTATCGTTATCATTCACCCGATATTGGACAGACGAAAATTTTATGTTAGAGGACAAACTTGAACTTATAAAATTTTAAGAGAAAAAAATATTTTTAATAGAAAATACATAGAAAAAAATCTATAATATATAATAATTTCAAAATTTCAGGAAAATGACTGGGCCATCCATCACTGAGTTTCATCCCCGCCGGATATCATATAAAAAAGAAACTTAATAATACTTTAGTTACTTGTGTATCAAAAAAAAAAAATACTTTAGTTACCATCTGTATATATTTTTTGGTTTAATGTCTAAATAAGTGTCCAAATTATATTTTTTGTGTTAAATAAGTGCCTACATTTTTTGGGACATCTGGGTGTCTAACGTTACAAATATTAGCATTTTAGGTGGTCGGGCCATCAACATGTTAGTTTTATATGTTAAGTGACATGTGTCATAACTGATAATTTAAAAAAATATTTTTTAAATTTAATATTATTATATTTATATAAAAAAAACTAACCTTATATTATAAAACAACCCTAAAATCCCAAATCTTAACTTTAATCCGTTGTCGTCGCCCTCTCTGATCACGATCGCCGCCGTCGATATAGTCCTTGCCATCATCCGAGTTATATGTCACCGTAGTTGTCACCGATTTACCATCGAATCGCGTGGGATCTTGATTTTCATCATAGGGTTTGTGGGATTTAAAACATCAATTTATTGTCGATTGGTCGTCAACCGATTATTATTTCATAAGGGTTTTGGTCGTCGGGGAGGAGAGGTCGGATGGAGCTTCTTCGAGGGCAAACGGTGGCGGTTAGCATGGATTTAAGAGTTGAAATAAATGTTTTCAAAGTTTAGGAGTTATTTCAAAATTTATGTATTTTTTTTTTAAAATATATAATTTTATTTTTTTAAATATATATAATTTTTTTTAAATTATCAGGTTGTGATACGTGTCACTTAACGGAGAAAATTAACGTCGTTGACGGCCCGATCATCTAAAATGCTAATGTCTGTAATGTTAGGTACCGGATGAATAAAAAAAATTATAGTTACTTATTTGACAAAAAAATATAATTTGGACACTTATTTGAGATTAAATTTTTTTTTTTATAGTTTGTTAAGCAAATTTATAAATCTAATTTCAAAACTATTTATATTTTTTCTAAAAAGGCCAATTTTAATCTCTCACGTGAATTGAAGGCGCGTGGAAAATGGTTTCTTCCACCTCCTAGGGCTTTCTGGGACTAAAAACTCATAAACACTTAACTAGACACTTCGATATCCCCTCTTCTTCAAAGCCAACAACGTAAAGGTTAAACCTTTTCCCCTCGTTTCTCCATTTCCAAAGGTTAAAGTTTTTAGTAAAAAAGAAGAAAAATGGCGTTCTCAATGCAGCCTTATGGCATACAATCCATGCTCAAGGAAGGTCACAAGCATCTCTCAGGTCTCGACGAAGCTGTTCTCAAAAACATCGATGCTTGCAAGCAACTCTCCACCATCACCCGCACTTCCCTCGGCCCCGAAGGTACCCTTTGTTTGTTCTCTTTTCATTTGAAATCTGCTGCTTTTTTCCGAATACTTTTCGTTTGATATCCAGATCAAGTGTTATTTTTCTAATGCCTCCCCATTTGCTTTTATTGATTGGTCCACTGTTTATTTAGGTATGAATAAGATGGTAATTAATCATTTGGACAAGCTCTTTGTCACCAATGATGCTGCTACTATTGTCAATGAGCTTGAGGTTCAGCATCCCGCCGCCAAGATTTTAGTTTTGGCCGGTAAGGCTCAGCAGGAGGAGATCGGAGACGGTGCTAATTTGACGATTTCGTTCGCTGGTGAGCTTCTCCAGAATGCAGAGGAGCTTATTAGGATGGGTTTGCATCCAAGTGAGATCATCAGTGGTTATACTAAAGCAATTACCAAGGTTTGCCTTTGCTTTCCCAAGTAACTTATATGACTTGAGGTGTTGTGCTAATTACGATAATGTGTCGGATTTGATATTATAGTTTTTATCTTTTAATATTTGTAGACAATTGAGGTGTTGGGGGAACTTGTGGAGGAAGGTTCTGAAACTATGGATGTTCGGGATAAAGAGCAAGTTGTTACTCGAATGAAAGCTGCTGTTGCTAGCAAGCAACACGGACAGGAAGATATATTATGTTCTCTTATAGCCGATGTAATTTCAACTTATTCCTCTTCTCTTGTCTATCATTGATCTGTTTGCCTATTTGCTGATAACTTTTGAAGGATATCATGATTACTTTTTGTTTATTTATTTTGCATCATAGGCATGCATCCAAGTCTGCCCCAAGAACCCTGCAAACTTTGATGTTGATAATGTCCGAGTCTCAAAGCTTGTTGGAGGAGGTCTGCATAATTGTACAATTGTTCGTGGGATGGT